GTACTATTTTGTCATCAATTGGAAGCTCTAAATCAAACTAAATAGAAAATAATTCGCGTCTTCAAATTGTCACAAAATTCAACAGCGATCCAAGTATTGATGCGTTACTTTTGACCACACAGGTGGGTGGACTTGGGTTGAATCTTACGGGTGCTGATACAGTCATATTTGTTGAGCATGATTGGAATCCAATGAAAGATCTTCAAGCAATGGACCGAGCCCATCGAATCGGCCAAAAAAAAGTGGTCAATGTTTACCGACTCATAACGCGAAAATCGTTGGAAGAGAAGATAATGGGTTTGCAGAAGTTTAAGCTCCTCACAGCTAATACGATAGTTAGCGAACAAAATGCATCGATGGACACCATGGCAACGGAACAATTATTTGATTTATTCACGCTAGCGGATGATGCATCAAAAACCAATAAAATTAATAAGGATGGTAAACAAACGAATGTTAGTTTAAAACAAGCGCTAGAAAATCTTCCAGATCTATGGGAAGACAAGGAATACGAGGAGGAATATGACATGACACAATTCATTAAAACACTTAAGTCGTAATGTGGAAGAAAATAAACGTTTGGAATAAAAAGTGGTTTTTCATTCGAAAAGATGTAGACTTAAGAAAAAATCAATCGACCTTGAATGAATAAAACGTTCTTGCTCAATCATATAAATAGACTTGATTTTATTTTATAATTTCTGAATAAATTTACTGTCTTATTTTAGGTCACACGTTTTCCTCAATTCACGCGTCTGATTTAATACGCAGCTAATCAATTCCACAAATTTCAATAGTTGATGCTAAGTTGATTGGTCTTTTGGTGGTCGCTGCATACAAAAAATGCAGGTAATTTCTTTTGGCAATAAGTTATGATGCTAATGAAATGGTTTCAATTCAAATCGTTTTAACGTTTTCCATTTGTTTCGAAATATCTAATGGATTTTTGAGCTGTCATCTATGGCGCAGCCAACTTCATTCCAAACTGTCACTTTGGATATTCAACAAGCAACAAATAGTGGTGTAAACGAGCTCGTCATTTTACTGTGATTTTTTGTTCGACGTTGATTCTATTTTGTTTTATTTTTTCGATTATTTTACAAATTTTTCAATTAAAAATGTATGTTTCTGCATCGAAATTATGTCGCTTGTGTTTGGATGTCGCTAGTACTCAAACACCAAATGCCAATTTTGTAGAATTATCGAAAAACTGGTTTAATATTGATGTAAGTTTACGGAATTTTTTTTTGCAAATTTTCACATAAAGAAATTCGGATGGATAAAAATTTGTTCGTTTTTGTTTTGTTTCTAGATTTCGGGCACAGAAACAATTTGTAACGTCTGCCATGAGCAGTTGAACTATTGGCCTGTCTACGTTAGCCGCATTACGGAATCAAATCGGTCACGCGAAACTTATACAAACCTTATGAATTCGGTAGGTTTGACAACGTTTTTCATTCTTCCAGTCCAAAAAGTTATATTAGATTTTTACTTTTCAAATGAAGTATCCTGATGACCTCTATAGTGTGAATATCGCCACAAAATGCCGAATATGTTTCTGGAAGGAAGCCAAGGTCGATATCAGCTTCGAAACCGAACATCATGGAAGAATGCATCAATTCATAGAAAACCAGTTGAAAATCACAGTGAGTATAGGCGCAGAATGAATTTGAGTATTGAACATTTTAACATCTGACGGCTAAGTTTCAGTCTGTGATCAATTAGAATTCAAATCTGACAGCTACGAAATAAACCACCTCTGGCGAAGAAACGCTGCATGGTGCAGAACAATAATAATAATATCTCATATTCTCTATGTTATTTCTTAGGTCAAGTCATCAGAATTGCTTTGTTTCGATTGCCTAAGCATTTTAAGAGATGTGTCGATATACAAAACATATCTGGGAGGCATACAACGAGCTAACTGCATGACGATATCAGTTAAAGAAGAGGTTCATGAGGATGCAAACACAGAAGTAGCGACGGACGAAGCAGACTCGACCTCCGATAAAAGTTTGTCTATGAATAATGGATCATCTCCCCCAAACACACCTCGAAACAACATCACAACGACCCGATTTGATTATGATGCAAGCACAGATGATGCTGAGAGTTTGTTTGGACAAGCAAGTAGGCGAGCAACATCTGCAGCGAATATGGAAGAAAACTCAAAAAGGTATAAAAATAAGAAGCGACAAACCCTTTATATGAAATGTCTGTTGAATAGACATAAAATATATAAGTTAAATCTAGATTTAAAATCTAAAAATTAAAGTCGCAATAGAGTTGAAGTGCTACAAATTTTCTCTATAGATAGTTTCCACTATCTCATTCATTACATCTTTTTCTTCGCAGAATCGATCACCTGAAAAGAAAACGCGACAAAGAACATAAAAAACAGAAAAAAAAACAAAAAAAAATCAAAGTATATCGACTAAAAGAGTTGAAAAATAGGTCAATTCCGTTTAAATTATCTATTTGCCACAGTTTTGTTTCTTTAAGTTTTGATAAGTTTCCTTCTTCAACTGAAAATTGTTTGCAAGTAATAAGTACGCAAAAGTGCTAAATTATATCTCAATAAGATTTAC